GCTCCATCTAACATACTTTGGACATGTTGTGAGGAGAGACCGGTCCTTGGAGAAGGACATCATGCTTGGGAGGGTGGAGGGACAGCGCAGGAGGAGAAGGCCCTCTATGAGGTGGATTGATTCAGTGACTGGGATAATCGGGATGGAAGTGTCAGAGATAGTATGATTGGCACAGGACAGATCAGGGTTTAGGGCTCTTGTACATAGGGTCGCTATGAGTTGCAAGCGACTCGACAGCACATAACAACACAACAAACAACATATTCCTTTTAAACAGTTCTTTCTTTCATCTATTCCAATGCAGTTTTCATTATTTATTCCCTCTTTTCTTAGTTTCCTATGTCAGTCCTTTTTTATATCAGTGATGTTATGCTGTATTTGTCCTTTTATGACTTAGATATTTCACTCAGCATAATGTCCTCCAGGGTCATCCATGTTGTGTAATATTTTGTGAGTTCCTTGTTTCAGTGCTGCATATTATTCCATTGTGTGACTATACCATAGGTTTTTCTGTCTATTCATTTGTTGATGTTGTTGTGTACTGTTGGATTGGAACTGACCCATAGCCGATCCTCCAGCAGGTTTTCAGAGGCAGTCAGTTGCATGGAAGGAGATTGCCCATCCTTCCCCCAAGGAGCAGATGGTGTCCTCGAACCACATGCCTTCAGGATTGCAGTGCAGCTTCTTGCCACTAGGCCACCAGATCTCCCTTCATTTGTTGATGGGCAAGTAAAAATTTCTGAGGATTTTTTTAAAAATAAAATTCCTGAAATAGTACATCAACAGAGTATGCTAGAAATTCAAGCTGGATTCAGAATAGACTGTGCTCTAGAAATAATCATTGCTAAAAAAAAAAAAGAAATAATCATTGCTGATGTTAGATAGATCTTGACTAAAAGCAGAAGATACCAGAAAGATGTTTATTTGTGTTGCATTGACTATGCAAAGGCATTTGTGTGTATCATGAAAATTATACCAAACATTGAGAAGAATAGGAGTCCCAGAACATTTAATTAAGCGTATACAAAACCTGTACATAGCCCAAGAAGCTTTTGTCTGAACTAAACAAGGGAACTCTGTATGGTTTAAAATCAGGATATATGTGTGTCAGGATTTTGTCCTTTCTCTGTAACTATTCAATCTGTATGCTGAGTAAATCATTCTAGAACTTGTACTGTATGAAGAAAACCATGGCATCAGAATCAGAGGAAGACTCATCAGCATCCTTTGTTATGCAGATGACACAGCTTTGCTTACTGAAGTGAAGAGGACTGGAAACTTGCTGGTGAAGATCAAAAACTACAGCCTTCAGTATTGCGTTATATCTCAGCATTACAAAAAGTCCTCACCACTGAAACAATAGACAATATTGATTGGTAAAGATTGAAGTCGTCAACAATTTCATTTTACACGGATCCAAAATCAACACCCATGGTAACAGCAGTCAAGAAATCAAAATATGTGTTTCACTGGCAATATCTCCTACAGCAAACCACTCCAAAGTGCTGAAGAGCAACAAGGTCCACTTAAAGATTAAGGTGTGCTTGATCCAAGCCGTGGTCTTTTCAGTTACTTCCTATGTGTCTGGATATAGGACAGTGAATAAGGATGGCAGAAGAATGATGCCTTTTAATTGTGGTGTTAGAAGAGAGTATTGAATATACCATGGAAGACCAAAATAGCAAACGAGTCTGTGTTGGTGGAAGTGCAACCAGGGTGCTCTTTAGAGGCAAGGATGGTAAAACTGTGTCTCACATATGTTAGCATGTTATCAGGAGGGGCCATCCCTTAGGAAAAGACATCATTCCTTGAGAAAAGCTGGGATAGATGGAGGGTCACAGAGAGACCCTCAATGAGATTGATTGACACAGTGACTGTAACAGTGAGCATATATCTCTTGAGTGTATCAGAAATCATAAAGGTGGCACATGATAGGGCATGGTTCAGAACCGTTGTTCATATAGTCAGCTTAAAGACGCCTTATGACAACAATAAGAGGGATGAATTCTCCACTTAATACGTTGCTTATTAGCCCAGTTGTGCTCCTTAGAAGTATGGATGGAGGGACTTCATCTCACATACTTTTAGCATATTGCTAGGAAGCCAGTCATTGGAAAAGTTGCAGAGTCAGAGAAAAAGAGGAAGATCTTCCATGAAATGGGCTGACACAGTAACTGTGAGGATGGAGCAGAATTTGGTTCTGGTGTGTGTAGTGTCACTGTAAGTTGGAGGGAACTTGAGAGTACCTGACAACAGGGGCAGAACTGAGGAGGAATGAGGAGACAGTTCTTAGGAGGCACTGTGTTTCTCTGTTAGAGACAGAAAAATGTGAAAATTGGTAACAGTGAGCATTGTACATTAGAAACATAATTAATGACACTAAATTGTACATGTAAAAAATGTTGAGATGGCAAGTTTTTTTAAATAATTTTAGCACATCAAAAACAAAGCAAAATAAGACAAAAACTTCAAGTTGTTTGTTTTCACCATACTTTGAAAAATCAGGGGTTTATTTTAAGCCCAGTGTAAAATATCTCACCTCTTCTTCCCACTGCGTGTTATCTGATGGTTTGTTATTATATGTATGCTTCCAGATCCCCTGTATTCTTAAGTTCTTAATTGAGCAGCATGCAGTGAATTACTTCCTTCTGAAAGGAAGTATCTTCATTTGAATACTGTGGTACATACCCCTTCTCCAGAATGTTCTCCCTGCCATGGGCCACCTCTAAGTTTAATGACTGTTCTTGCTCTGTCTCTCTTTATTCTTGAGATAGACTACTGTTAGACTTAGCTCTTGGTTCTCTCTAAATTCTTTCAGTAATTTCATTCATTGATGTAGCTTTAAAGAATTTCTATGCCCATCAGATTTTATGTCCGGTTTAATACTTTCTATTTCCTCCTGCTATTTATGTTTGTGACTCAGAAAAACTTTTGCTTTAGAAGGAAAATATAAATGGTGGTGGTCCTTAGAGAAGGATATCATGCTTGGAAGGGTGGAGGGACAGCATAGAAGAGAAAAATCCTGAATAAGATGATTGACACAATAACTGCGATAATGAGGGTAGGTGTGTCAGAAACAGTGAGATTGGCCAAGGATAGGGCAGGGTTCAAACCTTATGAGTCATGGTTGATTCGACGGCACTTAACAACATCATCAACATGGGTGATTTTATTTCCTTCTGTTGTATATTAATATCAGTAGCAGGAGTGGCATCTACTTCCTAAACAACACTTCCTAAACTCTCTGAACTCTGATAAATGATGATAGTTATAGAATGGCTATAGGCCTTTTGTTCATATGTTGCTATGAGTCGTACTCATAGCAATCAACAAGAACTGTATAGTTTACAAAACATTCAGTTTTATTTTGGTACTCTCCACAACTCTATTTTGAGCTCCTAGAATCTTTCACCTAGTAACGTCCAATCTAGAAAATTAGGCCTCTTAATAAGATGCCTTTATGCTCTTCCATGCCATATTATCTGAAGCAGAACATTTAAGTCTTCATTATATTTCATTGTTCCTACTACCTTTCAGCTACTTACAGTATCTCTTTTCATCTTATAGGTGGATTTGACCTGGAAGTCAAAGGCTGGGGTGGAGAAGATGTTCATCTTTATAGAAAATACTTACATGGGGACCTCATAGTGATTCGAACTCCAGTTCCTGGCCTCTTTCACCTTTGGCATGAGAAGCATTGTGCCGATGAACTGACACCAGAGCAGTACCGGATGTGCATTCAGTCCAAAGCCATGAATGAGGCTTCACATTCTCACCTTGGGATGCTGGTCTTCAGGGAGGAAATTGAGACACACCTTCAGAAGCAGGCATACCGGACAAACAGAGAAGCTGCTGGCTAATGTGTTCATTAATGATTACTCTCTGGACCACAAACCGGCACCATTTATTTAGCCTTAATTCCAACTCCAGTACCTCTTTCAGGGAAGAGAAAGATATTTTTCATATTCTTTTTGACATGTCTTCAGATTCAAAAGAATTGTATTTCAAACCATAAAGCCTCTGTTTTGTGATGTTAGTACTTGACAAATTGAAAACTGTTTATCTCATTTTTACGCTAGTCTTATGTTGTGGTGTATCTGATTGCATCTGTCTGACTGGACTTGCTGTGTTGATGATGCATCAGGAACATTGGATGCTCCAAAGAGGGCAATGTACTACAAGTGTACAAAGTGAACAGTATTTTTTACATGCTGCCACCTAGCTGAGCCACCTTGACTTTTCATGAAGATCTTTGGTTAATGATTTGGAGAACCTATTTTTTTCCCCATCCATTTTTTAAATGACATGTCAAAAATGTCTACAAAAGAAGGCAGAATCCAGAACCACTTAACCTAATGTTGTTTGGCTCCTTTGTACGTCTGTTCTTAAATAAGTGGATGATAATAGAAAATATTTAGATTAGAGCTATTGCTTGCTTAAAAACACATATTACTACCTTTAAAAGTCCAAGTTGCTTTAGACTATTTTAAAGAAACAGCAATAACTATGGAATATTTGATTATGTTGAAGAATACATACTATCCTTCGATATCTGGAAATAGCAGTTTATAGAAGTAAAGGCTACATCTAAACCCTCATGGCAAGGGACAGTAGTTGACCATAGCATGTTTGTGGTTTGAGTTTTTGCTTTTCATATTGTCTCTGTTAACATGAATTAATAGTTATTTATCATCCCCCATTTTCCAATGTCATATGTGTATGGGGAGCTCTGGTGGCTTAGTAGTAAAGAATTGGACTACCAACCCAAAAATATGTGGTTTGAATTCACCAGTTCCTCCATTGGAGAGAGATGGGCAGCCTCCTTTTGTGCAATTTAGTGCCTCTGAAAACCTGCTAATGGATCAGCTCTAAGTCGGTTCCTACTCCATGATCCTGAACAACAGCATGCTTGTAGGAAAAGTATGTTTGCATATAATATTTTAAGTTAAGACAGTTTCATGGAGAAAATGAAAAAAAAAATGAATGAATATATCATAATGAGAAAAAATGGAAATATTAATTTTCATAGTTGGAATATGAGTTACAGAATACTTCAGTGAAATACAGTGTATTACTTGAAGGTTCTATAATTTTTGTTGTTGTTAGGTGCCATTAAATCAAATATAAGTTGTAGCAACTCTGTGAGCAACAGAGCTGAACTTTTCTCTGTGCTATGCCATCCTTTCCAACTCTGATATGCTTAACCACATTGTTACAGATATTTTGTCAATCCATCTTTTTAGGGGTCTACCTCTCTTTCTCTGATCCTCCACTTTCCCATGATGTCCTTTTCCAAGGACTGGCCCCTCTTGACAATATGTCCAAATGATGTTAGAAAAGTTTCACCATCCTTGCTTCTAAGGAGCACCATATGATATTATATCCAGATTTATTTCCTTATCAAACATAAGGGTTTTTTTCCCCTAAATCCAGAAATTGGGGATATGGTAAGAGACATGCATAAGTTTTTGAACCTTGTTAAAAAGTGACTTAGTAATGCCCCTTAAAAGTAAGGATAGCAAGACTTCATCTCAGAGGAGGCTAGTCACTGAAGAAGGACATTTTGCCAGGAAAGAAGAAGAGTAGAGAAAGGAGATGTATTATTACATGGTGGATGGATCAATTGTGTAAAACACAGCACTGAGTGTGATGGTGATGCAAGACTGGGCAGGGTTTTGTTCTGTGTGTATCTGTTGGAACTGACTCAGTGGTACCCTAAACCAATAATACTGAATTCTATTTGTACAAAAACACCTGAGAATTTACAGAAGAAAACATGTTACTTTTTACTCAGTTAATATTATCATTTGAAATATTATGAATTCCAAATTTCAGGATATAACTTGAACTTAATTCTGCAATAATTTTTACTAATTGTTATTTTAAGAACTTTTAAGTTGAGATAGCATTTAGACATATTTTCAAGGTGTGTAAAATGTTCTCTACAAGATTATTATTCAGACAGTCTTTCTTTTTTATACACAAAATTTCCTTTGCTATTTATTTCAATGACCAGGTCATTATGGTATTTAAAGTGAAAGAATGTAGTAATTTGCAAAGATAAGTTGTTTGATTTTTTTTAACAGAATCAAATTATTTAACCTATTTTGTCAAAACAATTTTTTTTATTAAAAGTTGGAAGTTAAGCAATGGGAATATGTTTGTGACATTAAACAAACAATAAAGTGTTTTATTATAGCAAGTTAAAATAAAATGTGTTTATTTTCTATTCTAAAACATCATAGAAACAGGAAAATTGTACATTTTGAAGAATAATAAATCAGACCACACAGCACATACTCAGATCAAGATACAGTATTATCAGTGACAGGCCCTGTGTGCCCCTTCACCATACCAGACCCTCACTACATCCTTAAGGCCAATATCTGAAATATTAGCGTAAGATGGTAGTCTGTGCAGATGGGAGCCCATGAACCTCTTCAACCAAGATACCAGAAAACAAAAATAGCAGATGGGGGATAATTCTGGAATCTTGAATTGCTGCTATTATGTGCCTTCCAGTTGCCTGTGATTCATAGTGACCATATGTATAGTAGCACTGAACCCAACCCTATCCTGAGTCTCACCATCTCCAACCATCTACCCCCATTAACCCAGGTGCTGTGCCAGTCCATCTCAGATGAGGTCGTCCTCTCTTGTGCTGTCCCTCCATCCTTCCAAGCATGATGTCCTTCTCCAAGGACTAGTCCCTCTTGGCAACATGCCAAAAAGGAGATGGAGCTTCAAAATACTTGCCTCCAAGGAAACTTCTTTTCACCCTCTCCAGGACAATCCTGTTTGTTTTCTTGGCAGTCCATGGTATATTTAATATTCTTCTCAAGAACCACAACTCAAAAGCATCAATTCTTCTGTCATCCTTAGTCATTGTCCAGCTCTCTGATACATAGCAAGTAATTGTAAAGATTATGGCCTGGATCAGGAGCACCTTAGTCTCTAGACTGACATCCTTGCTCTTCAGCACTCTGGAGAGATTCCTAATAGCATATTTCCCAATGCAATTAATCTTTTGATTTCCTGACTGCTGGTACCAAGAATGTTGATGGTGAAGCCAAGCAAGCTGTAATTGTTGACAGTTTTCTCTCCACCTATCATGATGCTGCCAGTTAGCCCATTGGTAAGAATCTTTGTCTTGATATAGCATTTCAATCATTTTAAAGACTACAGTCCTTGACTTTATGCAGCAAACACTTCAGGCTCTCATTTTTGGCAAGCAATGTTGTGTAATCTGCATAATGCAGGTTGTTAAGTCTTCTTCCACTTCTGATGCCACATTCTTCCTCATAAAGCCCAGCCTCTCAAATTATCTATTCCACATATGGATTGAAATGGTATGGAATACATTAAAAAAAAAAAAAAGATTCACCATGACCAAGTGGGATTCATAGCAGGTATGCAAGGATGGGTCAACATAAGAAAACCAATGTAATTCATCACATTAACAAAGCAAAGAACAAGAACCACATGACCCTATCAATTGATTCAGAAAAGGCGTTTGACAAAATCCAACACCATTTCCTGATTAAAATACTGAACAAAATAGAGGGGAATTTCTTGAACATAGTAAAAAGCATATGTGCAAACACAATAGCCAACATTGTTCTCAATGGAGAGAGATTAAAGGCATTCCCTTTGAGAACAGGAACTAGGCAAGGATGTCCACTATTAACTCTCTTTGACAATTTGAATACCTATTTCCTTCTCTTGTCTTATTGCTATTGCCAAGACTTCTAATACAATATTGAATAAGAGAGTTAATAAGAGGAGGTAAAATTATCTATGCAAGTGATATGATAGAAAACCCTAAAGACTCAGCAAGAAAACTACTGGACATAGTTGACCAATTCAGTGAAGTGGCAGGATACTATATCAACATAAAAAATCAACTGGATTTCTCTACAGTGACAGAAAACAATTGGAGCTTAGAAAAACAATACCCTTCACAATAGCTAATCTAACCAGAAACACAAAGGATCTCTTCAAAGAAAATTACAAAATACTACTACAAGACACAAAAAAGAGACCTGGAGAAGTGGAAGAATATCCCTTGCTCATAGATAAGAAGACTAAAAATTTTTAAAATGACAATACTACCAAACACAATTTACACATTCAATGCAATCCCAATATAAATACCAATCCGATTCTTCAACGAGATGGAAAAGGCTATCTCCAGTTTCATTTGGAATGGAAAGAGGCCCCAAATAAGCAAAGCACTCCTTAAAAAAAGGAAACAAGATAGGAGGCATCTCACTCCCTGGTTTCAAACCCTACTACACTGCCGTGTGGTCAAGACAGTGTGGTACTGGTACAATGATATAACATAGATCAATGGAATAGAAATGAGAATCCAGAAATCAGACCATCTACCTATGGTCAACTGATTTTTGACAAGGAGATTAAATCAGTCAAGTAGAGAAAGGACAGACTTTAACAAATTGTGCTGTCAAAATTTGAAAATTATCTGCAGAAAACGCAAGCAAGATCCACACCTCACTCCATACACAAAAACAACTCAAAGTAGATCATGGACCTAGGACTAACACCAAGGACTATAAACGTTATTAAAGAAAAACCTGGAAGAACCCTAGAAGTCTTAATTCACAACATAAACACTCTTCCAAACATCTTGGAAAATCTACAACCAGAGAGGATCAAATAGATGAATGGAATATATCAGAGCTTCTCTATCCATTCATTTGTTGATAGGTACTTCGGTTGTTTCCAGCTAAAAATGAATGGATAGAGAAACTCTGGTATATTCACATAATGGAATACTATGCAGCACTGAAAAACAAGGAACTCATGAAATTCTATGCAAAGTGGATGACCATAGAGGACATTATGCTGAGTGAAATATCTCAGTCACAAAAGGACAAATATTGCACAGGACCACTATTGTAAAACAGGACTGATGCATCAACAAATTAAAAAACATAGAAATTATACAAAATATCTTCTCAGACCACAGTGCCACACAATTGGAAATTAATAATGAGAATAAAGGAGGGGAAAAACATACATTTGTAAGCTGAACAA